AAGGGGTGTAGCAAGAATTGGGATTCTTAAATGTACGTTACTTGAGTTCCTGTTTTGTCAAGTAACTTTACTAGATAGGAAGTTCACGCATTTCCGTCGCCAACGTTTGGCGGGCTTTAACTAGTTTACTAATATTTTTAATCATCACACATTTTACGGACACATTTTAAGTCAGATTTTTACTTTCTCCTGCTTATGTTCAAACAAGCTTAATTCATTAAAGAAAGTAAAAAAAAACAACAAATTTTTTTAAAATAATAAAATGAGCATTCTAGCTTCATTTCACTCAAAAAAACCTTAAGAACATTGTCTCACTTTTTTTGGACAGCCCGGACAAGGCATTATATTATATATCAAATACTGAAAAGATGGGCGAACCAACCCGGGCGCAACGGGTCCTTAGCTACGCAATATTGTACGACCTCGCCGCAGTTTGTCCATTAAAAAAAAATTGCTTAAAAACTATTTAGGAAACTGAGAATGCATTAAAAATAAATATTATAAATAAATCATGATCAGGTCTTAGGCCTACTTTTTAAAAAAAAACACGTTGCAAAGTTATGTTGATATAGTTAACATTCCTTAGTGACCTTAGCTTTCGAGAAGTGCTTCCAAATTTATCAGAATCAGTGAAAAGTTACAGACTGGCAAGAATTTCCAACACATTGTTTCATTGTAGCAGGGAACTGTGCCGAATCACTTCAAGGGAAGTGTAAGCTTAACTTATATTATTTTCTTAATGAGTATTGTTCTCCCCCCCCCCCCCCCGTTGTTTTTTTTTTTTTTTTTTTTTTTTATTACAGACTTGCAAGAATTTCCAACACATTGTTTCATTGTAGAAGGGAACTGTGCCGAATCACTTCAAGGGAAGTGTAAGCTTAACTTATATTATTTTCTTAATGAGTATTGTTCTCCCCCCCCCCCCTGTGTATTATTTTGTTTTTACTTTGCTTTAAGGTAATTAAATACCGGTGACTAGCCTATATGCTGCCCTCCAGGATACCACCTTGCCGCTAAGTGCTATTTTTTAAATTTAATTTTTTTTTTTTCTGCTGACGAAGACTTCCTGCAGAGACGTTCGTTGTTTTAATTGTTGCTTTCCTTTTACAGGTTTTCACATACTGTACTTTACTCATTACTTCTTAACGAGTATGAAATAGACAATCAGGGTCTAAATGCTCACCCTGAATTTAATAGTAATAGAAGTAGACGTTTTATTACCATATTAAATTTATTCACTGTGGCCCAAAAGGTAATGTCCTGTTTAATTTACGTGACTTTGCCAGGATCGGGAATTCCACGAACCATTCATTGGTTCATCGTGAACCAGCTAAGCGCTTTTTAAATGTCAACATTAAAGGTCAAGGATAGTAACTTAATAGTGGTTCTCAATTATTTGTTCCTTTTTTTTTTATAAATATTATCTGGCACTATGTGTTAACCCCACCCCCCCCANAAACAAAAAACAAAAAAAAAAAAAACAACAAAAAAAAAAACAAAAAAAAACAACAACACAATGCTGATGGAGTATAAGAAGAATTCTGAAGATCTCACAAGCTGAAATTTTTTGCAGCTGGCCGAATATGACGCACCTCCATGTAAAATTTAAGAAAGTGCCCACTTTGCACCCAAACTCCTACGTCACTGATGAAATACATTCATTCATTGTAAATGTTGAGAAAAGTTGGGTTCTTGAGCAATAATAATAATAATATTATTAATATCATGTAAATTGTAAATATTGCCTATGCCTATACTTATACGTTCGACAGCGTCATATCTAACCTTTCATTCATTAATTTTTTTAATATTAAAAATTAAGTCATTCGACGAAAGTGTCGCTTCTAATGAAGTCTTGCTGCTTTTAATTTTAAATTATTACCAGTGTCATTATTTAAACGCGTTTTTTTTTTTACACTAGTAGTGTAGGCGTAGGCTATTGAATTTAAAAGTCATTCGACGAAAGTATCGCCTCTATCTAATCTATAATTTATAATCAAGTAGGCCTATTGCTGTTTTTAAATTATTACTTTACTAACGGTTAGTCTAACTTTAAATGCAATTTATTAGGCTATTTATTTAGTTAGTGAAAGTGAAAACTGTAATTTTAAATCATTTTTAAATGTTTAGGCTCAACTTATTATATGGCATGGCATTGCATTGTAATTGTGTGATGGCATCGAGATGGTTTAACTTAATTATTTAGGCTTTCTTTAGGCCATCTATTAATTACTATTATTACTATTAGGCCTATACTATACACTATATATCATAAGATAATATAGTTAGGCAATATAGGCCTATTCATCTTAACTTACAGCTTACAGCCTACAGCTACCAACATTTTCATTCACTTGAACTTGAATTTTTAATTATTAACAATTATGTTGAAGTAAAGGCTATTATTTCATCTAAAACTAAATATGTTATCTTTTATTTTTATTTAAAAATGGGTGAAAGTGATGAGCAATTATTATTATTATTGTAAACTTAAGATAAAGAAAAAAGACATAAATAGTAAATTATACATGAATAGTTTGACAAATAAATTACTAAATTGTTCCTATTTCCAGACTGCTTTTAATTTTAAAGCCCAGTTAATTCAGTTATGATTTCATTCAGTTTGTGTTCAAGTGTCTCAAATACTCTAAAATTAACTGACAACTAATACAAAGAAGGCATTCGTACAAAGAAAGGCTTATAAAATTCCAGCGGCCTGTCTTTCTACAGTAACATTCCCAAAAATTTTGATTTCAGTGCCAGCCACTTGGAATATTATTGAGTGCAGCAAGTAGAGTGAGTGAGTAAGTTGCAGTTTTGCTCATGCAGAGGCATTCAGAACAAGTCCTAAAGAGTAGAAATAATATTTAATAATAACATTTATAATATGTAGATAGGAAATAGACTATTTGCCATAGTGCATATATTAAGCAACAGAATTCAAGCACAGTAGGTTTATCACAAAAACTAATACTTAACAATTTTAAATGTCATATTTTAGCTCAATATTTTTAAAATGGATGTCAGAGCAGCCCCTATTGTTCCTAACAACTCAGCAGTACTTTCATCAGTTGAAACACTGGAAGAAATCAGTGGACATACTGAGCTTAGCAAATCAAATGTTTACTCAGGTGAATAAATAACAATATCAATAATATTTTATACTGTTTATTATTCAAGATAAAATTGGTGTTATTTATTAAGCTTATACTTATAACTTTATTTATTAAGCTTATACTTATAACTTATACACGTTTACATTGAAACTGAAGTTTGAAATAGGCTACCAAATAGTCTAATGCATGAAATTATCTTCAAAACTTTTTGGAATCAACCATATTTTAAATATTTCATTAATATTCTAATGTGTTAGTTAGCAATGTTTTTCAAGCCAACCTTATATTTTCAGAAGGGCAGCATTTTCTGGATGATCTCTTTCAGATGATTATGAAGAAAGTTTTGAAACAGGATATACATAATGATACGTAAGTAAAGTTGGGATACATGTCTTACATTTCAACATATAAAATGTAAGCAAATTAAAGATGAGACACTGGAGCTTCATATATATATATACATAGATATAGATATAGATATATATATATATATATATATATATATATATATATA